TGACCATCATAACTTCCTCCACTCTCCTGCTGTTCTCTTCCAGAGTCTCATTTTTTTTCTGAAAGTGTCAGATTCCTTATATGTTATCTTAAATTTGATGCTAATTCTGATTTTAGTCTTGATTAGTTTAATTTCTTTGCTCTCCAGTTTTTTGACATTCAGAATCTTCAAAATATAGCGTTAAGATCGTTAAGATACTCGAAAGAAATATGGGTACCGAAGAACAGCGGTCGTAAGTAGATTAGGTCGTAAGTAGATTAGATCATAAATCGGCCCTTTATTTTATAGGCAAAAATTATCATATGCATATAACTGGTACGCAAGTATAGGCACGCCAATTTCTGTTTTGTTTCCTATTCCTGTAGTTTAAAAGTTGACAACAACCTGTAGTCTGTTTGTTCTAACCAGGATGCTAACAACAAGTGTCGCATATTGTTTGAGCCTCACAGGACTGAAGTGGCAGGGATGAGAATCAGCACCTCCAAACACAAGGCTCTGGTATTCCCTTGGGAGGTGAGGTGAGGGGTCTCAGAAGACTCCGCCCTTAGTGAAAGACTTTAAGTACCTCTGAATCTTGTTCACAAGTGAAGGTGAGAGGGAATGTGAGATTGAAAGGCAGGTTGGTTTGGTGGCTGCACTGAGGGGGTCCATGCTGATACAGGTGTTGTAAAAAGCGACCTACAGTTTGCCAGTCAATCCCATTCCTCACCATCGGTCCTGAACTTTGGGTAATGGGCAGTGGTGGCCTAATGGTTAGGGAAGTGCAGCTGTGATGGAAAGATTATAGGTTCGAATACCTGACCAGTGAGGCACCCTGAGTAAGGCACTGCTCCCCAGGTGCTGAACTAGCTGCCCCCTGCTATGTCATGACGTCACATATGGGTTAAATGCAGAGGACACATTTTGTTGTTGTGCTGTGGTGTGTCAACAATGATCACTGATCACCAAATTATCAATAACAAGATTGCAAGTACAAGTGACTGAAATGAGGTTTCTCATATAAGCTGTAGAGTGAGGACATTGAAATAGAGCCACTGCGTCTTCAGATTAGGAGGAGCCAGTTGGTTTGGATGGTTTGGGAATCTTACATGGATGCTACTTGGACATCTCCTAAGGGAGCTGGAAAAGGCCCAGGACATGCTGAAACAACTGCATCTCCCAGCTGGCTGGAGAACATCTAGGAAATCCCCAGAACAAGTCTGTGTCCATGAAGAATCCCCCATCTGACCTGCTCAACATGCTGCCACCATGACCCTCACCTGGAAAAGCAGTGGGAAAATGATGATGATGAAATCCAACCTTGAATTTTTAAATAAAACGGAATCCCAAATGGCACAGGTTGACGTCTTGCAGGCAGGGTGACGTCTTGCAGGCAGGTTGACGTCTTGCAAGCAGGTTGACGTCTTGCAGGCAGGTTGATGTCTTGCAGTCATTCTTTCTGTAATGCACTTTTGACATATTAAGGTTACATTCAAAACAAGAAAGGCACCAATCTATTTGAGGTAAATGTCTTTAGTAACCTTCCAATTAAAAGTCAAAATGACATATTCCAGAATTTTCCAGGCCAATCAGATAATCCCTACATTCTAAGGGAGATTTCTCTTGAACTCTTTGAACCCATAATATGAAACGTCTGACATAAAAACATGCTGCATGCATGAATTTGTTGTCACAATAGTTCTAAATCATACAAAACTGATTAACATTAAATTTATTTTTTCAAAAATAGTTTTGTTCTAGAAAGCTCTTTAATTAAAACATGGGAAAACAACAAGAGGGGGATAATTAAGTAACATTGCAAGTTAACAAGTTTTCCAGTGGAATATTTCTTATGTTGACAAGTCCAGAAATAACAATTACTCCTAACTTTAAACATCTGAAAACAACAGTTTACACAAGATTACATGCTCGCTTGCTGGTTTTGCAAACAGCTACTTGTGAAAAAGAGACCATGGTTTTTGATGGTGATGATGCTTCTGTGGGAAAAAGCAGTTCATAGAACAGATATGACAGTTACATGGGCATTCTGGGTAGTCAAAGAAATCCTCCTCCGTACAGTATTTCCTCTTATTTAACTATGTTATAACTTGCCATTTCAGTAGTGCATTGACTAAAGTTAAACCAAATTATATCCATGTATACATTTTTTCAAAACACATAAAAGGCAGACTCTACTTTAAAGTGATTCGGACATAAGTCAAACCAGACAGTAAAGTGTGAACATCCATCCATTCATCCTCCAGCAGCTTACTTACCCTTTCCTAGCAAGCAGAGGACATAGGGAAGGGAACACCCTGGACCAGATTCCAGTCCAGTCCAAGGCACAGGCACTACGAGAAAGTTCAATATACCAATTCACCAAACTACATGTCCTTAGACTGCAGAAATAAAGCTGAAAACTACAACACGAAGTGGAAATGGGATTCGTGACCCTAAACCCAGGGGCATGTTATTGAGGTACTGTGCCACCCATGCAAAGGATGAGTAATCCACACTGGTTTATTCTGTTCCCTGTGAGATATTCTCTATTTTCCATATTCATGGACGGCGACAAACAAAAACCCACAGCCTTTCTGCACTGGTCTTGTGTCACTCTGGCAGCACATTCAAAGAAAACAATGTTTAATTTTATGCAGAAAGTATAAAATTTTCTGCCAAATGGGTTATTGATAGCGGATTATGTTAAT